GGGAGTTGTCATAGGCTCTATTCTCTTGTACATATTTGAAATTTCCATAATGTTTTTCATTCTTCATCTGAGTATAGTATTGAATAACTTTTTTCTAAGGAATAATTCAGCATTACATATTCAAAAGTCTTTAAAATGGGCAAGGTCTGTGAGTCAGAAATTCTACTTCCAGGAATTTGCCCTTAGGAAATAATCAGAAATGAGGGAAAAAATGTCTCTACCAGGATGTTCACTGTGGAAATAGAAAAGTCATGGCCTACATGTTCAATAATGAGGCCTTAGTAAAGAAGTTATGGTGAACTAATAAGCCATTAAAATAATTTGGGGATTGGAGTGGTGAGCTGAAGTAGCTCTTTCACACACTGTTGGTGCAAATAAATTGAGTGATTTCACCACTTTGTGAGGTGAATTCCTGTTACCATTGGTTAAAATGCATTTGTGACCCTTTTCTTGTCACTAATAACTCGGGACAATTGAGGGGGTAAGCAAGGACCTTCATACTGGCCAAGTCCTGAGGTGGTGCAGCCTTCTGTGGGACAGACAGAGCTCAATGGTGAACTTCCTCTCTGGTCTGTCTCATGATGTTACCAGTATTCATTCACAGAGGCCCTTGGAAAGCTTGTCTAATTCTAATTACTTCCTAAAGGCCCCATCCCAAAATAGCACAAAATTAAGACCCCCTCTATATGTGTGGTGTGTGTGTGTGTGTGTGTGTGTGTGTGTAAGACTAAAGTACTGTCAAGTACACAATGTTTCTCTTCACCATAGTTATGCTGATGAAAGGAACTAGGGCGTCAAGAGAAGGTCTTTTTGTTGAATACCATTTGTAAACAAAATGTGTAATTAAAAAAAAAAACAAACCATCTCACTAGTCATGTTGAATCTAATACTTAAGAGGATGGGGCAGGAGAATTGTCTGAGTTTAATGCCAGCCTGAGCTTCAGTGTAAGACCCTGTTTTAAAACAAAAAATAAGAGCAACAACAAAACCAAACAAACAATCAAAGACCTTAAATATCCCAATTTATAAAAGGGCTTAAAAATAAAAGATTAAATGGCAACCAAGCATATCAGAAAAAAGAGAGAAAAATAAAGAAAGCAAGTAAGCATGTATAGTATTCCTCAGAGAGCACAGTAAGCATGCATACTATTCCTCAGAGAACACAGCAAACACGTGGTGGTGCACCTACAGGGGTCTCCATCTATGAGTCCTCAATTCATTGTGGTAAGCCACTTTGTGTTCAGTTTCCCAGCATGCAACCGAGGGTGGTTCTGATTGGTTGGTGTTCAGTCCTGGGTGGTGAGACACTATACATGCGATTTTCACTATGCAAATGAGAGCAGCCCTATGGGATTGTGGCTAATTTTGACTAGCCAACTATCCCACCACTGAGGCAGCAGGGAGACCCAGCTATGTGTTTGGGGGATTCAGGTTTACGTTAAGGGACCCTGTTGGCTTCCTGATCTCTCAGTCATACCCTTGACTCCACATTCTCCACTGGCAAAACAACAAACCTCATTGTCCCAGTTTGCTTTCTGCTGCTGTAATAAAGACAATTGATGGAGGAAGGTAATTGGTTAATTATAATAAACCAACTGCTTGGCCTCATAGCTTAGAACATAGGGGGGAGGAGAAAACAGAATAGGATGCTGGGTGGAAGAGGAAGTGAGGTCAGACTCTGCTCTGCTCCCGGACAGACCCGACAGCTCTGCTATCTGTAGCAGAGACACCATGCTCAGCTTTCCCAGGCAGCTCCAACCCACAATGGACTTATCTTGGTAAGCGCACCTTGGGGTGCTTACACACATTACTAGAAATGGGCTAGTCCAGGTGCGAGAGTTAGCCTAGAAGAGGCTAGATAGAAATGGGTCAAGCAGTTAAATGAATACATTTTGTGTGTTGTTATTTCGGGCATAAGCTAGCCAAGCGGCTGGGGTGTTGGGGACGCAGCCCCGCCGCTCCTATTTCAACAGACAATGATCTAAAGCAACTTTGGGTAAGAAAGGGTTTATTTCAATCCATCATGAAGGGAGATCAGGGCAAAAACTCCGGGCCGGGATCTGGAAGCAGAGACTGAAACCGAGGCCACGGAGGAACACAGGCTTGCTCCCTGTGTCTTGTTCAGCCTGTTTTCTTGTACCATCCGGGACCACTTACCCAGAGTTGAACTGTGCCTTTCCACATCAATCACCGATCAAGAAAATGTCCCACGGATTTGCCTATAGATGGGTCTGATGGAGGAATTTTCTCAACTGAGGTTCCCCGCTCCCAGACTCTGCTTGTATTAAGTTGACGGAACACGAACTAGCACACTAATCTTGAGAGACCTCTTCTGTAGCAGTTTCTTCACTCTGAGCAGGAATTATACACCAGCCCAACTTACATCGTTATCTGTGTCGTTATATATGCCCCAGGCAGTGCTTGAAAGAGGCAGCCATACTAGGACCAACTCAGTAAAAGGCCATGTCGCTCGGTCCAAGGGGTTTTAGGAAAGTGGGATTTCTAGCAGTAGAAGAGGAATGCTCCATCAAGGCATTGCCTGGAGATGGACCATTGATCTCGAGAAGAAACAAACTTCACCAATGGGTGAAAACCACAGGAGTAGGAAGTCTTGATTGAATGTGCTTTGGGGGCTAGTGGAGGTCAAGGTACATGTTCTTGTTCAGTTGGCTGGGAGGCAGGCATAAGCCCAGATGTAAGGCGCCCTGTAGAACAGGGTGCGTAGAACAGTTTGAGCTCAGATGAGCAGGCTTTGAATAGGATCCTGACTTCGACTTTCTTTAAACATGTTTATGATTATTTGAAGCTGAATCTGTTTAATCTGGGAAGAAGTGAATCTGATTAGCCATTGAAGGAATCAGGGAACAAGGAGGTCGGGTAAAATAAGTAATCTGATTAGACTGAGAAGAGAGAGGGAACAGCCGTTGCTGCTCTCACCTGATTCGTGGTTAGAGACACCGGCAGTAAGGATAAAGCATCAGGCTTGGTGTGAAGCAAAAGTGGTATTCATTGGGGGATGATAAAAAGAAGGCAAGCTTCCACACCGTAACAGGTGCTTGCCTTCCCCGTGAGGCAAGCGAGAATCAAAATAGGAGGCGAATTTAGATATGGCCAATTGATGTGTACCAGTTGTCAAGAGATACCCTGGGGTCCTTTCTCAATTGGCTAAAGCTGGTTACTGGAATAAACAGCCTTTGTGGGTACTTAAGAGCGCCGCTTTCCTGGCGGGAGCAGGGACTTTTGGCTGGGGATTGGTCCAGATCAGTCCTGTAATGTTACTAATTAGTTCTCTCTTCGGCTGTATTTTCCTACTGGGTATTTAAGACGATGTATTTGGTCAGAATGAACCCCTTCGTGCCATCGAGGTCAGTGAAGCTCCCTAGAGGATATTTTTAGGGACTTCAGAAGAGTCCCTCGGCTCCTCTCATTTTCCCCTGCCAATTGTATTGTCTGCTGGAATGGGTTGGTCTTATTTACCACGTGGCTTCTGTGTAAGCACCGAGGACATTTTCACTGTGATGATGCTCCTCTTTGCAAATGTATCTTGGTCAATGTCCAACCATTGGGGTCTCCATAGCCTCACTGAACTACAGGACAGGTAACTTATCAGAGCTGTGAACTCCCCCTCTTTTTAGAGGCATCTCTTCAACCTCTAGTACTTGGAGGCTCTTAAGGTGGGCTCAAAATACCGCTGTTCTCTTAGCCCTTTACTTCACTGATCTGGCCTACAGATATGGTTGTTGAAAATCAGATCATACCAGCCTTGAAGGATGACTGGTGGCTTAAAATTTAGCTGTTGTGTGGTGCTTAGATAAAGCTTACAAAAGCACACTTGTTAGTAAATCTTGACTCTGCCCAGAGTCTCCTAAGTAGTTAAATGTAGTAGAAACATAAGCAATTATCTTGATAAAACATAAAATCTGAAATCTTTATTTCGTGAGCTAATTATTGTTAACATTGCCAAGAGCAGGTCAATAACTCATTATTTTAGTGAAAACCCAGAAAGTTGTATTTGAAAGTCAGAAAACATGGACACTATTTTAAATACCTAACAATGGCACAGATACAATGTGTTATCAGTTTGGAGACATTTCTATTTTTTCAGTCAACAGCTTCAGAAAGATGGCTCAGTGATTAAGGGCACTGGCTGCTCATACTGAGGACCTGGGTTCTATTCCCAATACCCATATGGTGGCTCACAACCATCTGGCCAGTGGAGTCACTGCCCACTTCTGTTCTCCTTGAGCACCAGGCACACAAGTGGTGCACAGACATACATGCAGGGAAAATACCTGCACCCGTAAAATTAATTCATTAATTAGTGAGTTGTTAGATTTGTTTTAGTTTTCCTAATTCAAAAGAATTTGGAGTAAGTTTACATGTATGTTCACCTACTATATTTTATCAAAAATATAGACCACTGTGAATAATGATATACAGACATACCACATAACACACACCTAAAGGCGGCATACAGAACAAACCTACCAAATCTAAGACACATAGTAACAGCTGTACCAGCAGACAAAAGGACACATTCACAACACCTGGGATCAACATTCAGTAGCTCTAGCAAGTGTCTCAAAGAACATATAGCATGACTGCATTTAACCAGAGAGCACTGTTAGAAACAATTTAGAGAATTTACATCAGAAAGACATCAAACTTCACCACTGAAAGGGACCCTGTGAACCAAAAAGGTCAAATGGTGAACCTTGTTGAGACTTACATTTAAAAGTAGCCCTGTGGACTGGTGCACATATGAACTCACAGAGACCTTGGAAGCGTGAGCAAGGCCTGCACTGGTTCAAGCCAGATGGAGTCCCAGCAGGAAGAGGGACAAGCAGACGCAGGCTCCAATCCCGAACTGAAAAGCTATCTGCATTTGATAACCACTGGTGCAGGAAAGTCAGTTTTCTCCAACACAGTTCACTGGGTGTATCAACCACACCTCAGGCAGGTCCCACTCCCAGGAGGAGTTGCCCAACACAAAGTGAAATCAGTGGTATTTTATGAATTTTTGGTTTCTTTTTGCTTTGTTTGTTTTTGTTGTTTTGTCTTATTGGTTTTTGTCTTTCTGGGTCTGGGTTACCTCACTGAATATGGTTTTTTTCTAGATTCATCTATTTGCCCACAAATTTTTAAATGTCATTATTTTTTTCTACTGCTGTGTAGTATTCCATTGTGTAAATGTACCATGTTTGTTTTCTTTATCCATTCTTCGTTGAAGGGCATCTAGGTTGTTTCCAGGTTCTGGCTATTACAAATAATGCTGCTATAAACATAGTTGAGCTCATTTCCTTGTGGTGTGATTGAGCATCCTTTGGGTATATACCCCAAAGTGGTATTGCTGGGTCTTGAGGTAGATTGTTTCCTAATTTTCTGAGAAATCACCATACTAATTTCCAAAGTGGCTATACAAGTGTGCACTCGCACCAGCAATGAAGGAGCATTCCCCCTTACCCCAGACCCTTTACAGAATTCAGTGTTTTTTATCTTGGTTATTCTGACAGGTATAAGACGGAATCTCAGAGTTGTTTCGACTTGCATTTCTCTGATGGCTAAGAATGTTGAGCATATCCTTACGGGTCTTTCAGTCATTTGAGATTTGCCTGTTGAGAGTTCTTTGTTTAGGTCTGTACCCCATTTTTAATTGGACTATTTGTTCTTTTGATGTCAAGTTTCTTGAAGTTTTTTTGGTATAGTTTGGAGATCAGTCCTCCATGGAAATTGAACAATGCTCACCTGAATCACCAATGGGTCAAAGAAGAAATAAAGAAAGAAATTAAAGACTTCCTAAAATTCAACAAAAATGACCACATAGCATACCCAAACTTATGGGACACAATGAAAGCAGTATCAAGATGAAAGTTCATAGCACTAAATGACTACATAAAGAAGCTGGAAAAATCCCACACTAAGGAGTTAACAGCACACCTGAAAACTCTAGAACAAAAGGAAGCAAACTTACCCAGGAGGTCTACATAACAGAAAATAATCAAGTTGAGAGCTGAAAGAAAACAAAACAAAGAATCAGAATTAGACAAAGAGTTGGTTCTTCAAGAAAATCAATAAAAATAGACAAACCTTTATCTAAACTAACCAAAAGGCAGAGAGAGAATATCCAAATTAGCAAAATCAGAAATGAAAAGGGGGACATAACAACAGAAAAGGAGGAAGTCCAGAGAATCATTAGGTTATACTTCAAAAACCTGTACTCCACAAAATTGGAAAACTTAAAGGAAATGGACAAATTTCTGGATAAATATCACTTACCAAAATTAAATCATGACCAGATAAACAAATTAGATATATCTATAACCACTAAGTAAATAGAAACTGTCATCAAAAAATCTCCCAACCAAAAAAAGCCCAGGACCAGATAGTTTCAGTGCAGAATTCTACAAGATTTTCAAAGAACTAATACCAATACTCCTCAAATTGTTCCACACAATAGAAATGGAAGGAACACTGCCAAACTCTTTTTATGAGCCAACAGTTACCTTAATACCCAAACCACATTACTAAGAAAGAGAATTATAGACCAATGTCACTCATGAACATTGATGCCAAAAGACTCAATAAATAGTGGCAAACCGAGTCCAAGAACACATCATGGGTTAATTTAAAATGTAAGAGTTAGCTAGTAATAAGCCTGAGCTATTGGCTGAGCATTTTCAATTAATATAAGCCTCAGTGTGTTTATTTGAGAGCAGTTGCAGACAGGAAAACTCCACCTACAGGGAGAACTTTTAAAAGCTGTACCCTCTTTTCAAAGTAACCTCCTGACCCTGAGACCAATAGTTAAGGGCAGAAGCCCTGGGCCAGCTTTGGAGAGAGAAAGAATCACCAATCTGGGAAAATATTCAGATGAATGTGGTCAGTCTCAGCAAAGCTTGGCAAAGAAGGTAGAAGCGAGACAGAGGTTTCTGGTATGTGGGCAGATGTGGGCAGCAGCAGCTGCTTGTTTGGTGAGCACTGGCAACATGGACTGAGAAAAGAGAAAGAAAACAGTCCTTTCTCCCTTCCTCCCACCCTGTCCCAGCCTCTCAGGTCTCACCAACGCAGTGCTTTGGCCAGAGATTCTTGGCTGCTAAAGGGAGCCCAGCACAGTTCCCACTCACTCCTGGTTTTAGGTGGATGCTATAAGGAAAACCGTGTCCTCTGAGAGAACTTTTAGGGAGACCCTTCTGTTTGCCATTTTATGCCAATGCATAATTGGGCATGCATAGGATTAAAATCAGATGCATTGTGGGAAAGGACAAGCACAGTAGGAAAAACAATTTTCTGGTTTAAACTATCAATTAAAACAGAGAACAATCCCAGCTATGCCCTTTAGGAACCAGATCTCAGAGAAAGAGAACCCAAGCCATAGCCTGGGGCCCTTGAGTATTCTCATGGCTGTGGCCGCTCTCAAACTTGACCGCATAACCCTCTATAATCTGTGCTTTTGCTTCACTCAGAAAATTATCTTTGTTTCTTTTGCAAGTCTGTGTGAACCCTTATTTTCAACTCTCTGGATAAGAGGCCCAAGCCCAAAGCCACCAGTAATGTGTCTGGTGGGTCGAGGCAGAGGTCTCTATGGCAGTGGTCAAGCTAAACCTGGGGAACGACACCAACTATGCTGAACCCAGAAATCCCTCCATCATCACATTGTTAAGCGTGTACCCTTAGACATCACAGTGCAGCGGAAGCAGGAACACATTCTAGAATTCTCTGTTTTGGTCTCATTTTTATCAACAACTGGTTCTAAGACCCAGGACAAAGTTTCTGCATGACTGAGTTCCTCTCTCTCTCTCTCTCTCTCTCTCTCTCTCTCTCTCTCTCTCTCTCTTTCCCTCCCTCCCTCCCTCCCTTCCTGCCTCCCTCCTTCCCTTCTTTGTCTCTTTCTCTCCCTTATCCTTCCTGTCCCCTCCCCTATCTTACCATGCAGCCCAAACTGTCCTGGAACTCCCTGTGTTGTAGCCCATCTTGACCTTGAACTCATGATGCTTCGGCCCCAGACTCTTGAGAGTTGCTGAGATTACGAGTGTGACCCACCATGCCTGGCTTGACTTCATCAAAGCTGAGACATTATGAAGCCTTTTCTATTCCCTGCCCCTCCTCATCTCTCTCTCTCTCCGTGATCACTATGGCAGCCCTGAATATCACTACCACTCCAGGAGCCCTGAGAGCATGCAAAACAGAGTTTGAAAACTGCTAACCTAATGATCTCCAAGGTACCTTTAAAATTCAAAGTAGCAGCCTGGAGTACAAGAAGCTTACGCAGGCTTCCCATAGGTGGAGGTAGACAACAGAGTCGTGACATGATGATGCCGTGGGCACGCAACCATGTCCAGTGACCTTCTCCAGTGTCTTCCTGAACTTAAGCTACGTTTCCCAGACTTCTTTGCAGCTGCAATTCTATATACGACCCAGGTCCATGAAGCCTAAAACAACCTCACAGAAACACCTAGAAATGATGTTTTCCCAGGTGTCAGGGCACCCAAGACCCAGCCAAGATGTAGAAAATTAACCTTCTAGGTCTTTAGAGAGAAGAGGTCTCACTGCAGCTGCTAAGATGATGGATGGCCTACAGGATCTCCTCACAGCCACAGGGCCAGAAAGGCTTCAAGTCTGCAGCCGCCTCCTGGCTGCTGGCAGGCCACGGGAGTAGCTATTGCTTTGCAAGGTATCCAGACCTGAGACTAGATTTGAAATCTGGGGTCCTGAGAACAAAGCACAGGACATTCTCCAGCCAGCATCCGCTCCTGGGCCCAATGGGAACAGATGCAAAACATGTTCTGTTCTCATCACTCTGCTACCCGATCAGGCGGTGTGACGGCCCAGTTCACGGTGCATCCCCATCCCAGACCACTTAGGCCATTACTACCCATTTGTCCCTATTATGATACATTTCTGCTTCCGAGTGCCAACCTCTTCACACGAATGTTGTCATTCCTGGGACAGTTGCAGCTGATGACACCTGAAAACATCAGCGAACTTCTCCCCACCCCACCCCTGCCCTGCTATTGATCTCTGGTGAATCAACAGTATACACCAGAGGCCTTCAGAAATAACAAGACTTCCAACCTCCCCAAGCTTTTCAGGACAGTCCAGTCTCATTTTCCAGCAATTTCCAGGAAAGCGGGCCAGCTGAGCCTCCTCAAATAAACCAATTATTGAAAATAATGCATTTGCTTTTGTGAATGTTGTCTACAAATATATATATATATATATAATTTTTCAGTTACCAACAAGAAAAAATATCAACTTCCACAGGAGAAATTGCCAAATTCCACAAAATGTGTTCAGTAATTTCATCATATTAAGTAGAAAATGGCATCCTCTAACAGGAGTGGCAGCAGCCAGTTTCACGGATTAAACCATTCTCTGTGGAAGAAAGTTTCTCCCTGGAGAACGAGAAAATTCAGCCAGGCGTGACGTCTTTAAGGTCCTGCTTGAAATTTTAAGGAAGGCCACTTCAATACAAACACACAGTTTTAATTCTCTAAAGTGAAAGCGTAGACCTTCTGAAAACTCGGGTTCCAAAACTGTGGCCTTCTTTTTACGTGCAACCGTAAAATGACTTTCAAAGTGTCTCATGACTTTTCAAAGCCGGGCTAGTCAATGGCTGTCTCAGAGAGCCCCACACACCTGGCTTCTAAATGGATTAACCAAGTGTAGCGTTTCCTCTTCTGACTGTTAAAGTTGAGCTTGTCTGCATCCTGACCATAGCTGTATTTTTTTTTCCACGGTGACATCATTTTCTGGCAATTATTACCTCTTATACCCTGGACACAAGAAAATGGAAAATATTAGATAAAAGTTAGTGGAGATGAAACGATTATGTGTCAGACCCTCACTAAACCAAATCCCAGGCTCGCCCGTTCCCAGGATGCCTTTGTCTCCCCAAGAGAGCTCAGCCCCATCCAGCCACATGTGTACATACGTCCATGAAAAATACACGAGGGCGTTAGATCCCTGGAATTGGAGTTACAGGCAGTTAGTTGTGAGCCACCTGATGCGGGTGCCGGGAACTGAACTCAGGTCCTCTGCAAAAGTAGTAAGAGCTCTTACCACTAAGCCATTTCTCCGCCCCCTCGTTTTTCATTTTTAATCCCATCCCAAGAGCGTTCACACTTGAGTGTTGTCACAGCTCCTCATTCTTTCGATACTTTATACGATTTGTGCTTCCGAAGTATGATGCTGAAGCTATAGGAAGCCATTGTCTCCGTGGGATAAAGCCTTACACACAACCAGACAGGGGACTAAGCAGTTTATGAGAATTATCTCGATGGAACTTATCTAGATCCTTGCTCGCTAAAGTGCAGCTAGGAGGCGGCGCATAAGACTCCCTCCAGGTGCCAGTTCCAGCCCCTGAGGTTTTGGCCTCTCTAAGCTTTTCTCTCCTCGACTCCGGATGGGGCTGGCACCCGGAGCTGCTACTCTAAGGATTAAGTGAGAAGATGCGTGCGAAGCATTCCACGGAGCGCCCAGCACACGGTAGGTATTCAGTGTTGCCACCTCACTCGGAGCAGTCCTATACACGTGACCTGCAGACTCTAGGACCCAACCAGCTCCAGCCCCAGGGCCGGCGTGGCCTTCTTTCTCTCCTCCCTCTGCACTGAGGATGAGGTCTCTCTCCCACTGTGGGCTGAAAGAGCTTCTCTCTTCCCCGGATTCTTTGTTCTGGACTTTCTGCTTATTAGAGTCCTACCAGTGATCCCGACAAGATCAAAGCCCAGCCCGGGCTCCCAGAAGAGCTCCTCCTTCTCCTGTGGCCTGAAGCTATCCAAAGTCCTAAGAAATCCCTTCCAAACTTCTTGGCTTCACTTGCAACTCTCTTCCTTTTTCAGAGCTCCTCTTAGCACAGGAGCCATTTCTAGCCTGGGAACCAACGGCGTGGCAGGCAGGTATGGAAATCCAGTGGGCACCTTGAGGTGATTTCCAGCTCCTTGTATCCCAGAATGAGAAAATGCAACAAAGGACACGTGAATAGAGATAGAGGCTGAGAGAGCTTATCGAGAGGGTGCTCTTTCAAAGGGAACCGCAGGCCAGGGCAGAGAGGGAGAAGGTTAGACTCTCAATGGTATCATGCCCAGGTGGTCGAGGCCCTTGTAGATAATTGGTATAGTGAGTATATTTTTGCTCGCGCTAGGTTACATGTTGGCCTTGGTATATGCGATTTCCGGTCTTCCTGTCTGACAACTGTTTTCTTTTACATGCTGAATTTGACCTCACTCTCCCTGACACACTCAATGCCACAACTAGGGCTGCCATCTGAGCCCAGAGTACCAGGAGCCGTAGACAGTCACCCGGCCCTCACTGATACACAGCTCAGTTTCGAGCGAGCGGCGTGTAATTGTAATAAACACCATGCAGATACTTTAAGAGCCTTTCTCACTTCAGGGCAGCCTTTTCTTGCCTCTGGGTAGAATTTGTTCCATCAGTGGATACAGAAAGCATGGCTTCCACCAAGTGAGAGTGTTCAATGCATTTGGCATGAAAACCATGTCTTCCTGATCCCAGGGTCATGGAAGCATCACGGGAAGAGGTTCCAGCTGCTCTCCCTGGGAATGTGACACTCACAATGCCATCTCTGGGACCTCTGCGTCCACCTCCGGAAGTGGCAGCGGTTGGAAGAGCTGACCTCTACACTCCAGCAGTAAAATTTGATGTCGAAAATCACTCTCCCCTACCTCCGTGGAGATGAATATTCATGAGCGGCTGACATTTCTGAAGGAAAGAAGCTCTATAGATGGACGCGATCTATACCCACAGAAAGTAAATGGCAGGTGAGCGTCTCTTAGCTTTTCCGGTACATGTTATTTTTTGCTGCTTGCTCCCCCTGTAACGACTTCCCTTTGCCCACCCTGTCCTGATAGTTCTCTCTCTCATCCTCAGCATCCCACATACAGCTCAAGATGTGGCAATGTTGGCTTTTCACGGCAATTATAAGGTGGTTGTTATTGCCTCTCTCCATCACTTACCCGTTTTGCTTGCTTGTTCTGTTTTTGTTGCCCGTGCCCTCCAAGACCTCTCCTTGAACAGACTGCTTTCTGTTAGCACAGTCTTAGCACTCCGCTCTGAGCCAAATGGTCCTCTGCCGTCTTTTTAGCATCTTCTATTCATCAGGGGGAGTTATAATTACAAACACTCCAACGGTTGCTTACACAACAGCTTATTTCAAAGGCAGGAAGTCCTCCCAGGTGAGCGTGTGTTTATGGACTCACTGTGGCTGTGTCTTTGGACTGAGATAGGTTTAAGAGTTTTCAGGGTCTTCCCATCACCTTCCCCCCTCCATCCCCCACCCACTGGCCTAGCCCACCAATTAGAACGCCTCACTGTACCTGAAGAGCCAACCGAAAACCTCCCCACATCCAGCACTTGGGAAGCAAGCGCCTGTGAGAGATGGCCATCTCTCTGCTACAAAAAACATAAATGTTTTGAGACTTGAGCTCAAGGAAGAGACTTTGTGAGAGAGGCGTGCATACTGTTTCACCTTCTCTTCGGTGAAGGCAGGGAGGGTAGCCTTGTTGTTCTAGACAACACAAACTTTATTAATAGGTGTGGGAAGAGGGGAACCGGAGGGCATCCACAGCCCTCCCACAGCAGAATGTCTGCGATGCGTCTTTCACTCCTTGAAAAAGGCCCTTGCTGCCATCACCAGGGGAAATACACTACCTTTTAACACTGTAGCTCAACCACAGAGCCAAGCCACTCCTCCTGGATTCTTTGAGAGCATCTAAGGCAGGCTGGGTTGGTTTTGCTGTTATTTTTTGTTTCTCCATTAGACTTTGTGGACCACAAAAAGACAATGAAAGGGACAGACACAGGGAAAATAGCAGAGACATATTTCCAGACCAAGTGTGCAGAGGGTGTTGACCCCGTCAGTGCTGTGTCGATCATTCGCCCAGCTCCTTCCTCCAGCTCCTTCCTCATGTTGTCTGCAGTGGTACTTGCTAACCCCAAAGAGAGTTGAGCCGCAGTGTCCCCTTGTGGGTGTCTTCCAGCCTGCCTCTTCTCTCAGATCAGACAGCTTCAAAATTTGAACAAGCATTCTCACACAACTGCCACTCACTCAGCAGACTCTTCTGACCCCTCATTTGGATGCCGGGCACAGAGGTCAAAGTGCAGCGTGACAGCTCCGCCGCCCTTCAGGTTTGTGTCCTCTAGTCGGGCAAACATGAGCAAACTATCAAAGCTGTGGGACCATGAGGCGCTGTGATGAGACATGGACGGGAAGTGTTCTCTATGGCAGACTGAGGGGTCGGGAGGGACTTCTGGGGCCCGTCATGCTCGAGATGAGACGTGAATGATGAGTGTGATTTCTGAGGTCCCGAGGAGAGAGAGTGGGAGATAAAAGAACTGCACATGCAGAGGCAAGGATGCTTAAACAGCCTTGCTCTTCGGGAACCTCGGGTGCCCCTGTCTGCTTGGAACACAGCACGGAAGAAAGAATTTCAGCTGCAGAGGCAGGCTGGGTCAGAAGGCAGGAGCTGGAGGGGAGGTGTGTGCTGAGGGAGGCTGTAAACTTTCTCCTGATGGAGTCCAGGAGCCAGGGAAGAATTTTAAGCAGGGGATTGACATGAACAGATTAGTGATCTCAAAACCCTGGCAGCAACGTTTGAATAGCAGGGGGGGAGAAGAAAGAAAAAGACAGGATTTGGTCTGGCACTTGCTACAATAATAGCAGAATAAGAGAAGGCGACAAAGGGCAAGCTAAGGTAGGTGCCGAGGACTTTGTTTGCACGGGGGAGTGAAAGAAAGGGAACAGAGTGAAGACTCAAAACAAGCCCAGCTTTGTGGTTAAGAGGACCAGCTCACAGCAACAGCTGGCACAGCTACAGGGCATACACTGTATACTGTTTTGCTTTGTGGTTTCTCATGTGCTCATTAGCCTTTTCCTGTTGAAGATCTATTATGTGCCAGGCCTAGTTTTAGATATTGTTGGAGATGATGAGAACAGGAAGAGAAGCTAGTCAGACAATTTTAGGACAGAGATACTCCATCACCACCAAAAACACACACACACACACAAAAGCAATTACGATCTTGTTGGCCAGAGGAGGCAGACTGACTCAAAGCCTAGCTCCTAAACGATTTGTGAGTCTCACTCTGGAGGGGGCAATGTTAGATCTAACAGGGATGAGGAGGAAGCCCTACCTAACAGCTGACTTTAGGTCCCAGCTTCTTCTAGCCAGGCAATACTAGAAAGAGAAGCATCGGTTTTGATTCCTCCTTGAGATGTAAAATGCCAAATGAAAGGGAAAGTTGAGGCCCCTAAGGGAAAGCTACTTCTTCCTGCTCCTCTGAGCTCTCAGTCTGCTCCCAGGGTGAGGCATGACATTCTTATCTGCTCCGTTACAAAACTGTCTCCTCCCTTAACACCTAATCCAGCTGGACCTGTCAATCACCAGGCCAGGCGACCACCCCTCACACTCATTGACGTAAAGGCATGCTAAGGAGATGGGAGGAATAATTATCCCCTTAATGAGAGCAGTTGACAGAGAAAGACTGGAAGCCCTTATTAATCTGGGCTTCATGGAATGAACAGAGCATGCCCAAGGGAAGAGCACAGCATACAAATGTGTGTGTGTGTGGGGGGGGAGGCAGGTGCTCTGTAAATGTCCTATAAAAGGGTATTTTGCTGCCTGGCCCAGAATTTGGGGACTTTTTCCTCAACCCATTAGCCCATTCCTATTCTTGAAAATGTAACGATATTTCATTTGAATTTTAATAACT